CGCCTGGAGGAAGAGATCCGGCACCTCAAGGATGAGATGGCCCGCCACCTGCGCGAGTACCAGGACCTGCTCAATGTCAAGATGGCCCTGGATGTGGAGATTGCCACCTACCGGAAGCTGCTGGAGGGCGAGGAAAGCCGGTGAGGGGCTGGTGGTGGGAGTCAGGGGAGTGCTGAGGGGCCCATTCCTGCCTCCGGGGGTGGTGGGGGGTGGTGTGTGAGACGCTGAGGATTCCCTTAGCAAGATCTGGAAATGATTTTATTTTATTTTTATTTATTTTTATTTTTTTTTTAATTTTTTTTATTTACTTATGATAGTCACATAGAATGAGAGAGAGAGGCAGAGACACAGGCAGAGGGAGAAACAGGCTCCATGCACCGGGAGCCCGACATGGGATTCGATCCCGGGTCTCCAGGATCGCGCCCTGGGCCAAAGGCAGGCGCCAAACCGCTGCGCCACCCAGGGATCCCTGGAAATGATTTTATACAAGAGGCCACCACACCACTAATTGTAGAGAATTAATGAAGGCCACCTGGGGAAAAAGTGATTTAATTAATAGCTTTTATAAAAAGAGAAATATAAGTATTCCCTCATCTACCTTCAGAATTAAGAGCCAGCAGCATAAAGCCATGTTCAGCAACCAGTAATAAAATATTACTGCTAGTCAAGGGAGAGATGAAAGCAGAGTGGGGAATGGTGAGGAAGGAAAGGGAGGGGACAGATAGAGACAAAGAGAGAGCCTGGGACACAGCCTAAGAAGGAGTGTGCAGAGACTCGTACCCAAGGGTACACTGCACACGCGCGCACACACATGCACACACATACCCTCATAAGGAAAGATAGGGGATCCCTGGGTGGCGCAGCGGTTTGGCGCCTGCCTTTGGCCCAGGGCGTGATCCTGGAGACCCGGGATCGAGTCCCACGTCGGGCTTCCGGTGCATGGAGCCTGCTTCTCCCTCTGCCTGTGTCTCTGCCTCTCTCTCTCTCTGTGACTATCATAAATAAATAAAAATTAAAAAAAAATTTAAGGAAAGATAGCGTGACATGCTCAGAGCAACTCACCTCTAGATACCAAAAATGACACGACTTGAAGGCAATGCTAGGGAACTTTCTGGGGCGATGGAGACGTTATGTATCTTGACTTAGACTGGAAGTTACATGGGTGTAGACACTGATCGAAACTCACTGAAGTGCATACTAAAGATCGTGCATATCGCCGTGGGTAAACCTAACCTCAGTTTAAAACAGGTCAATTGGGATCCCTGGGTGGCGCAGCAGTTTGGCGCCTGCCTTTGGCCCAAGGCGTGATCCTGGAGACCCGGGATCGAATCCCACGTCGGGCTCCCGGTGCATGGAGCCTGCTTCTCCCTCTGCCTGTGTCTCTGCCTCTCTCTCTCTCTGTATGACTATCGTAAATTAAAAAAACAAACAAACAAACAGGTCAATTACTCAAAAAACAATGATGCTCATAAAAATGATAATACCTTAAAGTTTAAAAAAATCAGCAGACGTGTAAATACAGACCTGCACATAGAGAGGTGTCAGGTTTCATAGTTACATCTCCATATAACATACATCTCCATGTAAGGTGGCTCCAGATGTGTAGCATTTTCCCTGCACTAGGCATGTGAGGATGGCGTCTACCCTACAACTTGCCCTCCCATGCATAGGCCAGAGGTTCCCAGCCTGGCTGGAGGGTGGGCATACACATGATGGATGTGGCCTACAGTTGTTATCGATACATCCTGCGGTGCCTGAGGAAGGAGATCCTGGTGAACTGGGGGGGACTAGGAGGTCGGGGTACTCACATCAAGCCAGCAGGTCAGAGATGGAATGGGATGATCCAGAAGGGACAGTTCCTGGGATAGCTGGAGCTGCCCTTTGCCCTGTGACCCTGTGCCCTTAGCAGTGTGAAAGTGGGAATGTTAGGGTCAGTAGAGCAGGGACAGCTGACGATGGCATTTAGTGAGGACCGGGGCAAGCTTTGATGGGTGGTCACACGGAGAGATAGAGGGCCCTAACCCTTCGGGGGCTTGATCTCTCCCCTTTCAGGATCAACCTCCCCATCCAGACCTTCTCTGCTCTCAACTTCCGAGGTGAGTGCATGTTGGCAGGTGGATGCTGGGGTGGCAGGGGCAGGAGTCCAGCTTGCGTACTGCCCAAGGCCAGCCAGGGAGGGGGTTTGGAACCATGGGGACAGGGCTGGGGTCCAGGAAAGAGAAAAGGAGCTGCTGCAGGTGGGTGAGGAAATTTAGGTAGAGGTACCTTCTAACAGAGAGGGGTTTTTATTTTATTTCATGGCATTATATTGACTGTGTCCCCTGGACCTTCTGAGAGTATTGAACATCAGCACATGGCTTCTATTCCCAATATATCCCAAATCTCAAGGTACCAAAGGTGTCCTTGGGGATCTGACAACAGAAGCATCTAGAACCATACACCCTGAGCTACAAGGCACCCTCCAGCCACTGTGTGCTTGGCAAACTGTCAAGCACCCCCCACCTCCCCCTAGCTGCTTGTTGAACACCTCCAGTTTGCTGGAGCAAGATGTTGGATGCATGTTTTTAAAAAAAATGAAGCCAAACCTTAGCAAAGCCAAACAATTAAAAGAACGAGCTCCTGGGGCATTTTGCCATCCTGACATTAGTTATATGCACATCGAGTGGCTTTCCAACCCCAGAGAGCAGAAAAACACGCTATAATGATACATTAGGAAAGCAAGTCGGAGTCCTTGGCAGCGTCGCCTTTCCTAGATCAAACCTTTTTTGTCTTCGATGTTCATTTCCATCGGGAAAAATACATGCTGTGCTCCACCGAGTTACAGGGTTCATCACAGGCTGGTCGCTCGCTGAGGAGATTCATGGGCACCAAACTCCTAATACCTGGGACCCAAATTTGACCCTCCCTATGAAACTCAGAACGTCTTTCTGCTGTTAGTGGTTTTTGTAGACACCCAAGTGGGAGCCTTGCAACTGAAATTGCTTAAATGCTTTTTCAAATCAATGGCTCTGTGGGCATGAGAGTGCAAGTATCATTACTAATGTTTGACAGTGAAGAAACTGAGGCACAGAGAGGCAGGTGCCTGGCCACCTGCACAATGAATCAGTAACTGACTCCCATCTGTTTCCCTCTCATTAAGACATGGTTTACTCAGCTGGATTCTTAAAAGAAAAATCATTTATTTATTTGGGAGACAGAGAGAGTGAGGAGGGGGGCCCAGAGGAAGAGAGAGCCTTAAACAGATTCCGAGCTGAGCATGGAGCTCCATGTGTGGCTCGATCTCGTGACCCTGAGATCATGACCTGGGCTGAAGCCAAGAGTTGGACCCTTAACTGACTGAGCCATCCAGGCACCCCTTATCTGGACTCTTAAAGGGGCTGGGTGCCATGAGGTCCTCCAAAAGAGTATGTTGGGACAGGGTTCTGGGTTCTGTTAGGAGACAAATTCATGCAGGGCTTTGTTGGAGCCCAGGAGTGGAGAGGGAGTGAGGAAGCCTGGAGAGGGAATGTTGGGTGGCCTGGGGCCTCAGGGGTCCCCTACCCTCCTGAATCAGTTTATAGCTGGAGGATATGTGTGGGCTCCCGAGCCCATCTCAGCCATGGGACTGGCCCCAGTGTCTATAGAGCCACCTGCTGGGTGCTGGCCTCAAAGACAGGTTCTAAAGTCTTGCTGAAGAAGTATTAGGCTCATCTTGAGGGGATAGGAGTCTTCTGGGCTCTACCCCACGGGACCAGGGATGGATTCCCATTGGCCGGACTTGGTCAGGCTGAGTGTGTGGATGGATCCGTTACAGAAACAAGCCCGGAGCAAAGGGGTTCTGAGGTCCATACCAAGAAGACGGTGATGATCAAGACCATCGAGACCCGGGATGGGGAGGTGAGCCACCTGCCTGGTTCCCTTACCCTTGTGGGGGTTATGACGCTGTCAGCCAGGTGCCTTCCACCAGCTATGCTGGTTCAAGGCCCTGCCTGGATGGAGAGGGGGTTCTGCTAACCTGGCGTTGGGGAGTGGGGAGCAGCCCCTGGCTGGGGCTCCATTCTCCTGCCAGCACAGGTTTGGACTGGGCCTCTCTGTCTCCCTAGGTTGTCAGTGAGGCCACACAACAGCAACATGAGGTGCTCTAAAGCCAGAGACCCCTCTGCCAGCAGAGACCATCCTCGCCCCTGTCCTCACTGCCTCCTGATGCCAGCCTCCTTCCATCCCAGGGCACCACACCCAGCCACAGTGCTCCCCCTCACAGCCTCTGACCCCTGCTCACCGACCACAACTCATGCCCCCCCCGGGGGACATGGCCCACCCCTGCCCAGGCACAGGCAGCCCCAGCTGTGTGAGTCCTGGATGTTGGAAATGAGGGAGCCTGGCTCTTCGCTGCCCTCGGGGGTGCTGGGCAGGGCCCAGATGGAATCAGTGCCCCTGCCCCTCCCACCTCTGTGGCCCCTGTGACCTCAGGCTCTCGCCTCTGCTTTTGGAGAGGGCCCCAGAGCAGGGTGTTGGGACCCCGCGGGATGAGGATAGAACCCATAGACCTCCCACTCCCTTCTCCGTAGCATGGGTCAGAGAGAAAGGGCAGCCTCCCCAGCAAGCCGGGCAGGTGACTGAGGGACTGGCCCCCGTGGGAATGGGGGCTTGAAACTGACCCCATGGCCCCTTCCTTTCCCAGGGTGGGCTTAGAAAGCAGGGGCTGCAAGAGGGAACCCCCGAAGGTGCCAGATGTGGGAGCAGGAGATTCAGAAGGAGAGAGGGTGGGCGAGATGCTGGAGAGGAGAGGAGAGGAAAGAGGCAGAGAGTGGTCTCAGGCAGGGGGAGGGGTGCCCCCCTCCATGCCTGCCCCTCCCCTGCAGCAGGGGCTCTGGACAGAAACAATAAAAAGCAAAGTACTAGCCTAGCACGTCCCTGGCTGTGTTGACTGCCTGGTCTCCTCTGGGGGCCCTTCTGAGCACCCCTTGAGGTGGAGTGTGTGCTGCCTTTCTGCCCGATCAGACCGTCCTCCAGGACCTGTCACCCTACTGTTCCCACAACCTCCCAGCCTTGCTGTGAGTCTGTGGCACACAGTTGGGGGGGTGGGGGGGCAGGGGGGCTTTTATTTTGGGAACCTTGAATACCTCCTGTTGGGCCCCAATTCCTGGGCTGCCCCCCTTGGGCCCCCTACTCAACCTTCAGATCATCAGGGCCCCAGGGACACCACCTGCTGTTCTTGGAAGGACACAGACTGGCTCTGGAGTAGGGCTCCCCTAGTCCCTTCCCCAAAGGAGTTCACAGCCTCTTCCCATTAAAGCTGCCTGAATGCCTTCTATGGGCAAGGGCCGATTCAGGAAAAATAACAATGTTAAGAAAAATAGAAAGCTCTATCTTGTTTTTGGAGAAGAAGACTCAAACACTCTAAAGATGCCAATTCATGCTACATTAACCAGTACTTCCAACTCAATGCAGTCTCAAGGAAAATACCAAAGGGAAATTTGGGGAACATTTGGTAAGCATAGGGGAGGGGAGTATAGGACATATGGGGAAAAAAAAAAAAGGAAATCCTAGAACAAAGTATTAACCCAGATATATTAAAGGTTTCTGTGGGGAAAACTTAATGATTCAATATAGGCTTGGGGGCCATTGGGCAGCCACGAGGGGCAGGAATGAATCCTGTCTCTTTTCGCTCCTTCCAAAAGATAAGTTCAGATAGATCCAAGACTTAGGAAGCTTGATGGATCCATATAGGCTTCAGCCTTCAAGTTAGTCCTCACAGACTTAAGGATTGTTCTGTAAAGGGGGGGGGAAGAAGGTAGAGATCACAAACATGGTAAATTCAGACATTCTGTAGGGAAAACAAACAAACCCAAAACATAACAGGGCTTTAGTCTTAGGTTCCCTAGTCTGACATTCCTAACTGGCTTTTTCCAGAAACTTCCAAAGCCTTTCTGGTGTCTCTAGCTTTCTCCCTCTCCTTGGATGTCACCCTTGCTCACAAATTGCACCTTCCCTCTGGGTTATGGGTTATGTAGCTCCTCCCTATAAGAATGCCCCCTTCTCTGTGGTAGTCTTCATCTTTCCCCGGGGAGCATCGTGGGCACACCCCAGGTCCCCACTGTCTATACCGGTGACTCGTGGTCGTTTCTACACAACCTCCAGTGGGATGAATGCTGTGAGCCCCAGAAAAACTCCCAGTCAACCCCTAGTGAAATTCCAAGTGAAATTAGAAGTAACATTTGCAGAGTCTTCACCCCGGGATACAGGAGGCAGAGCGGGTGAGGGCCCCCTGGTGGGGGCCCAGAATCTGAGCTCATCTCTCTGTGAGAGAAACACGCTTGGGTGAGGCTGGGCTCAGGTAGACAAGAGGTAGTGCATGTACCTGTGAGCAATTTCAGGAGCCTCTCAGCAATTTCTTCTTTCCCCTAAATGAGTATGCTCGCTCATCTAACCCACAAAGGATAAAGGGACACCAAGGTCAGGGAAGGTCTTAGAGGCATCCTACCCTCCAGAAAAGCTTAGGTGTAGACCACTCACTAGAGTGGAATCTAGGAATTGCAGATTCTCAGAGTCAGATGTCAAGGCCCCCAGGCGGTGATGCCCATGATCCAGAAGTCCCCTCCTGGCCTTGCGCAAACATCTTGAGCAGTCATCAAGCTCTGCCTGAATGTGTCAGAGAACACACTACGTCCACGGTGACCCCTTGTAGCTGGGGCCACAAAGCTCTCCTCTGGCACACGCCTGTCTCCTGTGATGACTACCCACTTGTTCAGACAAGAGAGGAGGCCCAGACCCACCCTGTGTCCCCAGTGGGGAAGCGTTCTCTCGGCAGAGCCTTCCTGGGAGCAGAAGTCCTCTGGTTTGCGGGGGGGGGGGGGGGGGGGGGCGGCTGGCTGGCTCATTTGGTAGAGCGCCTTGACTCTTGACCTTGGGGTTGTGAGTTCAAGCCTCACATTGGGTGTTGAGATTACTTAAACATAAAATATTTTAGGGGTGCCTGGGTGACTCAGTGGTTGAGTGCCTGTCTTCAGCTCAGGGGATGATCCCAGGGTCCTGGGATCGAGTCCTGCATCAGGTTCCCTGCAGGGAGCCTGCTTCTCCCTCTGCCTATGCCTCTACCTCTCTCTCTCTCTGTGTCTTCATGAATAAATAAAATCTTTAAAAAATAATAAAAATATTAACCACCCCCCCAAAAAAACCCAAAAACCTAGGTAGAAATCCTCTGGTTCCAAATGCTCTGCTTTGCCTATCTCCTTGGGAGCTGGAGAATGAGGCAGGGAATGTAGGGCAGGGGACATGGATATGGCGGTGCTCCCAAGGATCGGACAAAATAAGCCAAGAAAGATCTGGGTTCCATGTGGTCATACACGTGCACCCCATCACCTCCACGGCAAAACCTCTCCCTGTTCCTTGGGACACTCTGTTGTCTTCTCTTACAAGACTCTGAACGTCATGGAGAAGTAAGAGAGCTCACGGATAGCAGACTAGCGTCTCATTGGGCCCGGGGAACCCATTCTAGACCATCTCAGACCCCGCCTGACGGGTGCGGTAGGAAGGATTATGGAGACAAAACGTGTCCCTAAGCTGGGAACCGAGGGCTCAGGGGACACTGTCCTGCCCTCTCCACTCTGACTACCCTCCTCCCCTCCCACCCACTCACCCTTCCCCTTTCCTCCTCTCACCAGCTTGTCTTGGAGCCTTATGCAAATATACATCGTGGACCTCTGGTTCAGCGCCTGAATGTCAGCTAATTAAGGGGAAGGTTTTCATTCTTTCACTCACCACGGGTTTCCCAGTGCCCGGGAGAGCACTTGCTCCATAGAAGGTGCTCATGAAATATTTAAGTACTTGTTGAATGAATACCCACTGAGCACTTTTATTTACTTTTCTCCAAATTAAATATTTACTGGGAAGGCTGATGACCCCCACTTCACTCACTGATCCAACCAACATTTACTGACCTTTTACCATGTGCCAGGTCCATGGTGCATGTTATGACCCACAGGAAACTCCCCACGGCCCAGAGAGGTGGGGTGAACTGCCAAGGTCGCACAGCATTATCTGTGGCAGAGGAGGACCAGGCCCCGGGCTCCTTGGCCTCCGGAGCCCAGATCTCTTTCCATGACACCATAGGCTTGTGATCTCGAGGCAGGACAGAGTGGCAGCACACTCCAGGCCTGGCGCCAGGCCGCGGGGCACTATGGGGCCCATTCTGAGGGACAGATGAGCCCCTAGCTGCCAGCTGCCCTGGGTGATGGGCCTGGCCAGAGCCGTGGCTTCCCCTGTCACAGCCCTGGCGGGCTCCTCCAGGAGAGGGCGCCCCCGATTCACAGGGGCCGGGCCGAGCCCGCCCTTCCCGGGCCCTACACCCCGGAGCGCTCATCAGTGAATGCCCCCAGGCCAGACATTTGGCCAGGAGATACATAAGCCATGTTCCAGACCCTGTGCCAGGCCCTTTTAAATAGTTAATACTCATTTTAATATTTAATATAACTTAAAGCCATCACAGAAACCCAAGTCAGATCATGTGATTCCTGAACTCAAGACCCTCTGAGAGGACTTCCCGTTTTCACCAGGAATAAAAGTGCCACGGCCTACAAGATGCTAGGCTATCTGGCCCCTGCTCCCCATCTGACCTCACGTCTCTATCCTCCCCACTGGGGCCCTGGTTCTTCTTGGAGCCCTACCAGGCGCATCATCCCCTCTGCCTGAAGCAGTCCTGTCCAGATACCTGTACTATCTGCTTCCTAACTCCTTTAGGATTGACTCCGTCATTCCCAGTGAAGCTCCAACCACCCTATCAGAAAGCTCAAGCCTCACCACACTCCCATCTCCCTTGCCCTGCTCCATTTTTCCCACAGGGGCAGGATATTGTCTTGTCTATTTTGTTCACTGCTACATCCCTACTGCTTAGAACAGGGACAGGCACAGAGTAGGGACTCAAAAAATGTTTGTTGAATGAATGAATCAATCCTGAGTTGGGCTAACCCATTTTATAGATGAAGAGACGAAGCTTGATGATGTTAAGTGACTTGCTTAAGACCACACGGTTCGGGCACCTGGGTGGTTCACTGGTTGAGCATCTGCCTTTGGCTCAGGTTGTGATCCCGGGATCCTGGGATCGAGTCCTGCATTGGGCTCCTCACAGGGAGCCTGCTTCTCCCTCTGCCTATGTCTCTGCCTCTGTGTCTCTCATGAATAAACAAATTAAGAAAAAAAAAAGACCACAGAGTTCATGTATTCAACCAGCCAACCAACCAGTCAACCAACCAGCCAACATTTACAGACCACCTACTACATGCATTCTGAGCAAACTGGTGAGGTCCAGTGCTAGATGGCTTTGGGTTATTTTTTGTCTTAAATAGTCTCAGGGCGCCTGGGTGGCTGAGTCGGTTGGGGGTCAGACTCTGGGTTTTGGCTCAGGTCATGATCTCGGGGGTCCTGAGATTGGGCTCTGTGCTCAACAGGAGGTGTGCTTGAAGATTCTCACTTTCTGGCTCTCCTCTGCTCCACTCTTTGCATGCACATGTACATGCACTCTCACTCTCTCTCCAGTAAATAAATAAATCTTTTTAAAAAATAAAATAGTATCTTCCTTTGTTCTTGATGTTCCATCCTCTTGCAAAGCCTTCCCCCACATTTTTACCTTTTAGAATTACATTCATTTTTAAGACTTCAATTCATCACCAGTGGTTGCCGGGGTTGGTGGAGGGGGTGTGGTTGACCACAAAGAGGATGTTCAGGCAAATATTTAGGGTGATGTTCTGTATGGTCCTGAGGTAGAAGATGCACGATTCTCTGCATTTGTCAAAACCCGAAGAACTGAACAGCACAAAGAGTAAGCTCGAATGCATGCAAACAACAAAGAAATTTCATTCCTCAAGGCTTTTAATCCCCGTGATGTAATTCAGTGCTTAAGCAGTCTCTTCTGTACCCTCTGTGCTCACACACACAGGCACACTTTGGCTTTGGTGCCCGTGAATGCGGGTGGGGGATGAGGTGACATTGACAGTACCTTTCTCTATCTCAGGATGACTCAGGGCTCCTTCTTTGGCTTCCTCTCTGCCTTCCCAAGCTTCACCCCTCTGGGATCAAGGTCAGGCCTAAGTCTCTTACCTGAACTTTTGTTTAACTTTTCATTTTGAGATAACTATAGATTGGCATGGGGTTATAAGAAACAATACGGGGGCATCTGGGTGGCTGAGTTGGTTAAGCGTCTGCCTTCAGCTCAGGCCATGATCTCAGGGTTCTTGGATCAAGCCCTGCATCAGGCTCCCTGCTCAGTGAGGATTGCTTCACCCTCTCCTCTCTGCTGCTCCCCCTGCTTGTGTTCTCTCTCTCACTGTCAAATAAATTATGTGTTTTTTTTTTTATTCATGAGAGACACATGAAGAGAGGCAGAGACATAGGCAGAGGGAGAAGTGGACTCCCCACGAGGAGGTCAATGTGGGACTCGATCCCAGGACCCCAGAATCACAACCTGAGCCAAAGGTAGACGTTCAACCACTGAACCACCCAGATGTCCCAATAAATAAAATCTTTAAAAAAAATACAATTACCTTCACTTGGCTTTCCCTAATGGCACCACCTTGTGTAAACTCCAGTACAATATCATAACCAGGAAATTGCTATTAGTCTACCCACCTTCTTGAGATTTCACCAGTTTTACATGCATTCATTAGTGGGTGTGTGTTTGTGTGTGTGTGTATGTAGTTCTATCTGTGCAATTTTATCACATATGTAGATTCATGTGACCACCACTAGTTAGGGCATGGAACTGCTCTATCAGAAGTCTCACTTGAGCTTTTATTTTATTTTATTTTATTTTATTTTATTCTATTATTTTATTTTTTAAGGTTCCTCCATGCCCAGTATGGAGCCCAAAATGGGGCTTTAACTCATGACTCTGGTCAAGTCCTGAGCTGAGATCAAGAGTCAGACACTTAATGAACTGAGCCATCCAGGAGCCCCACACTTGAACTTTTAAAAGCAGTAAAGTCCTATCTTGATGTTTGTCAAAGTGCAACCCTAAGAAGCATCACAGTCTCCTGGACCACTTGTGAAATGTGCCGATTCCTGGGCCCTCCCAGCATCCCCCATTCACCTGCGTCTCTGGGGGTGGGGCCTGAGTGTCTGCGCTTCCAGCAGGCACCGTCCTCGGAGAACCATGCTGTAAATGGCCTCAGTCTGTCCCATCATCTCCAGTTCACCTTCTGCACCATAGCTGTCAAGAGGGAGCCTTCTAAAACACAGTTCTGACCATGTTAGCCTGCTGCTTAACACCCTGCAGCAGCGCCCCACTGCCATCAAGATAGACCTTAGCAAGCAAAACTTCCACCTCCCCTCCAGCTCAATCCCTACTCCTCTGACCCTAGAACACGTCATCTCCTGTCATCATGCTCTGATTTAGGTCATGCTGTTCCCTCTGCCTGGAACTTCTCCCCCCCCCCCCTTCTCTGCCTGTTGTAACCCTTGTTCAACTACCCATTTTTATGGAGGAGGGCTTGGAGGTTGAGAGAGGTTCCCTATTACCCAGCAAGTGAGGGTGGGACCAGCTGAGAGTCTGAATCCGCCCAACTCCCTGCTTCTGGGCTTAGGGTTCACGGAGGGGGCATGGAGGCTCAGGACACCACTGGGACACCACTGGTCCTTCTTCCTGGTTCTCTGCTTACCTCCACGGGGGCCTGTTTCCCCATCTGCCTCTCAGACGCAGGTCCAGGACGTCCTCTCCCTCTGCCCCAGCTGGGACTCAGGAGCCTGAGGAGAGGGTGGAAGGGCAGTGGGATCGAGTCCCGGGCGTAACCCGACTCCAGACTCCTGGGTGGGCAGGGGGCAGGCCTGAGCTGCAGGGGAAGGGACCTGGAACAAGCCTTCAGACCCGCTGGAGCAGGGTTTGGAGATAGGGGCTCCCGGAGAGAGGGAAGGAGGCACTGGAGTCCAAGTCCCCTCCTCTGCTGCCCCCTCCCTCCACTGCTCCCTCGCAACCCGAGCCGGGGGGCCTAAAAATAGCCCCCGAGGCGCAAACGCCGGCCGCCCTGGTGACCTTCTGGGTAACACAGGCCGAGGGCGGGCGGGCAGCAGGAAGGCAGGGCGCCGGCCCCCCAGGACCCATCTCCCAGGGCGCCATCCCCCCGGAGTTCCAGAGACAACCCCGCAGCCCAGCTCGCAGAGGCCATGCAGAGAGCCCGGGGCACGCGAGGCGGGGACGCGGGCACGCGGGCGCCCCCCAGCCCCGGGGTGCCCCCCAAGCGAGCCAAGGTGGGCGCCGGCGGAGGGGCAGTGGAGGGGGCGCCCGCCTTCCTGCGGCCCCTGAAGGACGCGGCGGTGCTGGCGGGCGGCGACGTGCGGCTGCGGGTGGCGGTGAGCGGGACGCCCCAGCCCAGCCTCAGCTGGTTCCGGGACGGGCAGCCCCTGCCCCCGCCGGCCCCCGAGCCCAGCTGCCTGTGGCTGCGGAGCTGCGGGGCGCGGGACGCCGGCGTGTACAGCTGCAGGGCCCGGAACGAGCGGGGCCAGGCCTGCTGCGAGGCTGTGCTCACCGTGCTGGAGGTCGGAGGTAATGGGGCGGCGGGGGCGGGGGCTGGGGGCGCTGGGGGCGCTGGGGGGGCTGGGGGGGCTGGGGGCCACGTGGGCCGGTGCGTGCATCCCGCCCTCTTCCCGGGCGCTCCGGCGTCTCCGCTGCAAGGACCCAGAGGTGCCCGTCGAAAGGAAAGTGGGCATGGGGGGGGAGGGGTGTCAAAGTAGGAAGGTTAGAGGTCAAGGGTCAGCATTTGGTAAGCAAAACCCGAGCCCCACTCCTCGCCTCTCCGGCAACTGCCCAGTGAAACGCCTCCTGGCTTCCCTGTAGAGAGAGAAAATCGCTTGGGGGGAAATCGTCTTTATCTACTCTGATAGTTAAACGGGAGACACTTGACAGGTGTGCGTGTGTCTGAAAGAGGGGCAAGCTCCCCCGTCGTGCTGCAATGTTGAGGGATGGGTCAGAGCTCCTCGCAGGCCATCGCTGGGGCAGGTTGGTGTGATCCGCACTGGGCTAGTTGGAAGAAGCCAGTGGGTGGACTAGTATGAATAGGGTGCAGAGCATCAGGAGGTGGAGCTGGGGCTGGGGGCTACCCAGGGTGTGTGAGAATCCATAAGCGTGTGTGTGTGTGTGTGTGTGTGTGTGTGTATGTACCTGTGTAGGCTGAGGAAGGGTCTGGTAGTACAAACAGCTGAGGGATGGGGGTTTGTGGAGTTGCTATGGAAAACCAATGGGCCACTCTACCTGAGACTCAGAGGGCATGGAAGGGGGGGTGCTCAGGCTGGTACTCGGGCCCCTACGTATGTGGGTACAGAGTGCCAGGCTCATGTGCAAAGGGACAGATGATGATCCGAGGCAGAAGAGAGTGGACCAAGATTGGGTCTGGTACCCCTGGTCCTGCTGGGGCCAGGCCCAGGATCAGTGTTGCCTTGGATCAGTGTCTGGGTTTCCTTTTTAATTTTCTCATCCCCTAAACCAGCCAGTTGTTCTCTAGGGCCTTCGATAGAGCCTTGGGCTAACTGAGTCTTGAGAACCAGAATTCTGGAGAAGTAGGCGTAGCCAGGGAGGTAGCAAAGAGCTTGGGCATCATTGAGTGTGTCCCAGGCATTTTCAAGCAGGAACTCTCACTCCAGCTGGGTGGTGTTGTGTCTGGGTACATCCTTGGGGGCTGAGAAGGAAGCACAAGGATGGAGGACCTCAGCAGCTGGAGGGGAAAGGAGGCTCGGAGTGGCAGCATGTGAGGAGATGGAGCAGGGGCTCAGCCTCCCTCTATCAGCACCTTGCCCTACCTTGCTCACCCTCCTACAGTCTTGAGCACTGGTTCCTTGGACTCCCTGTGGCCAAGCCTGGGGCAGAGAGGGTCAAGGCTGGCTTTTCTTGATTGGCCAGGTACAGGTTATCCCAGCCTGGAGTCAGGGGAAGGGACCCATCCTGGCAGCGCTCTGAGCTGGGGAAGGATCAGACTTCTTGGGGATCTTAGCTCTGGTCCCTCGGGCCAAAGGGGACTGAAAACAGAATATAAATCAAATCAAAGGGCATGATAGATCTGTTAAGAATACGGTCTGGGAGAGAGATTTTATTTTATTTTTTAAAAAACTATTTTATTTTTAAAAGATTTTATTTACTTACTGGAGAGAAAGAGACCCAGAGCTCATGAGCCAGGGGGAGCAGCAGAGAGAAGTAGGGTCCCCATTGAGCAAGGAGCCCTACTGTGGAGTTCAGCTCCATCCCAACCCTTGGACTCTGGGATCCTGGCCTGAACCGAAGGCAGATGCTTAACCCATTGAGCCACCGGGTGCCCTGGGGACAGAGGTTTCAGGGAAGGATAAGGAAGCTCTGAGGAGTGCCATGTTGGTTTTGAGTTGAAATGACAACAGAGAACCTCAGGTCCGAATGCTTCCTTTTGCAGGTAAGGACACGGTAGATAGTCCAGAACGGAGGAAGATCTGCCAGAAAATGCATTACTAGTTATGGCCACCCAGAATTAAGAACCCATTCCTCCAGGTTTCCACTCTGGGGCTTTTTAACTACTCAAGGAATTCTGGAGGGAGGAGAGAGAAACAGAAAGGGAGGGGAGCTGTCCATTGTATGGAGAGTAGCCCAGGCCTTCATTCTGAGAGGAGAGCCCCCTGGCCCGCTTGGGTCCCCCAAAGTGGGGAGAGTGACGAGGTGTTAGATAGACACCCTCTCACCCCCCTCAAGCAGCACTGTGTTTCCCTGCAAGATGGGTTTCCTCTGTCCCTCTGTAAGCTGGCTAGCAGGTCGGCAGGACTGAATGCTGGCTGGGCATAGCTAGACAGAGGCCAGGAGGACCGCCTCCAGGCTGCTCCAGTGGAACAGCATGTTTGAGAGGCCTAGGGTAAGGAAAGGACCCTGGGTGCCACGAGGACTGGACCTGGGCCTTTTGACAGTCATGTTTAAACCGGAAGACTGAGCTGCGGCAAGTTACAGTTGAGAACTTTTCCCTGCTGATGAAATCTTTACCCCAAGCCCAATCTTATAATTATCATTAACTGGTAATAATTCTTAGTAATAATTTATAATGTTATGAAGAGCTCCATGTGTGGCAGGTGATACACCATCACATCTTTTGACCTATCAGTGAAGTCCCATAGCAACCCTGGGGAAGCCGGTACAAAGGATGAAGTGATATTTCTTGTACAGATAGAAGGTGGGGATGGAAGCAGGGATGGAAGGAAGTCTGTTCTCCTGCAAAGAGCTATGTGCTTGACTACTACGCCCCTTCCACAGGAAGGGGAGGGCAGGGCTTTGCTCTGGGGATGGTGGGGGACTGACTGCCAGCCTGGCTGCCTCCTCCTCCGATTGCCCCTCCCCCCCATCAGTACCTGCCCAGTTACTATGGGTCTTAGTCAGGGGCAGCTGGGCAAGCTGCTCAGCAGTGCTCAGACTTACGCATGGGAAACTTTCTCAGTTGGGATCAACAGCAGGAGGACTTCAGCGTTCTCGAGGAAGCCCAGCCAGGACCTGGCTGCAGAAGAAGGAGGCAGTTTCCTGGCTGGGATTGCCATCTGGCTCGGCAAGAGAGGGTGATGCTCAGGTTCCTGGCACTCCTGAAGCCTGAGATGTTAGCTCAAGGATGGAGGGCTATCGGCATGGCTTGGGGAGGCTGGGGCCTTGAGAAGACAAGTGGGCTGCAGACTGGAGAATCTGGAAGAATGGACACAGGAGGGTGGGGTTTGGGGTGTAGAAATGAGGAAAGAATGGGAATACTGAGAATGACAGACATGCAGGCTACTTGTAGAATCTTTAACATGGGTACAGCACCCCATCTCCTGTCATTATTTAATCTTCTATGCCTAGATTCCTGTGGTGATGTTTATACCTATAAGAAAACTAGAGTTCCAAGGGGGAGTTTCCCTGAGGTCACATGGCTAATGAGGTAACAGAGCCAGATATGTTAGGGGGTTCAGGTCCACGTTGCCTGTCCTCATAAAAAGAAGCAAGGGAAGACTAAGGCCAGGACCTGCCATCATTAACCATCCTTCTCCCAATCATATCCCCGAAGTCATCTTCTGGAAAGTCTCCAAGATAGGTGGGCATTCTTCTTCAAAACATCAGGCTCCCACCTGTGTGGGCTGAGGAGCTATATGCAAACCAAAGGACCAGAACAAGTACCACCCTCAACCCTTGGGACATGTGTGGCTGAAGGGAGAGGCCTAAAGGGCAGGGGGTAAGGAGGAGAGGGCACAACCGAGAGGAGGGGCAAGCCGACAGTGCTTACGGTGTTCGTTGGCTGTTTTATAGCCAGAGTCCAGGAGACTCTGGTTTCAATCAGAAGGGCCAAAGGTCTACAGATAGGAGTGAACCATGTTGGGAACTTGAGGGCATGGAGACACGAGGTTAGAGACGGGGGAGAGGGCTTTTCAGGCAAGGAAAAGATGGGGAATGCACCAGAACCTGTGTTGAGGGATATTCTGCAGTTATCTTTTTCACCAGGAATTTGGAATGTCTGGATGAAAAGCCAGGAGGAAACTAGTAGGGGGTTGGGGATGAGTAGGGAGAGTGTCGCCATCCATTCATGCCCAGTCCTCATCAGGGAGGGGAGGAGGAGCCAGAGTGGGAGCAGTGAGGAGCCCTGGGAAGAGAGAGAGGCAGGAGCAGAGAGAAGCCTCCAAGAAACCTTTCCTTTTTTTAATTATTTATTTATTTATTTATTTATTTTATTTTTTTATTTTTTTCAAGAGACCTTTCCTGAAGGCAGGGCAGGCTCTCCCGGGAAGATCCTGAGTGGCACTCGAGATGGCCACTTCTCCAGCTATTTCTTAGAAAAGGCTCTGGTTCAGGACAGAGGAGGGAGAAAGCCTGGATGAATGAGCTGTTCCAGGAAGACTTACTACCCCTATTCCAGCCACCTCCAGCTGTGCC